ACACACATGCGGCCTGATTTATTTCCAGGCTGTGAAGACATTAGTGTGCTGCTAACGGCACTCTCTCTGACCATTCAGCAAAGTGCTAAAGCAATATCCCCCGTCTCAGAGGCCTCCCTGGAAAGGGAGGATAGTGTTTCTATCATTGCCAATAAAATTACATTGGAAATAAATTCCAGAGGTTTCTGAAAGCAGGGGTTTGGAGAAGGCTAAGCAGAATACAAATTGCAATGCAAGTTTCATTTTTCTCATTCTTCAGAAAAAGCTTCTCCAGAGACCTCACTCTAGAGGCCTGTGGGGAGTACGAGTAATCCACAGAAATACAGTCACGTTAACCACCTTTCTGCTGGCTGTACTCCAGTCTCCTTTTCCAAACCAGGGAGTTAAGCAGGCAGACTTCAGAAAGAGAAGTAAACAAAGGGGAGGTGGGAAGCAAGCCGTCTTCTCTTAAGAGCCAGAGCTTCATGTGCCCAAAATATCAGCAGGACAAAATCAGGGTCCCTGCCCCCCACGAGGGCCAGGGGCTTTGTCCGTCGTATTCACTGCTGTGTTCCTAGCAGCATCTGGCCACCGGAAAGTCAATGGAGGTTTGCTGAATGAATTATGTTGGCGATGTCCGTCTTGCTAGTCTTATAAAGCTCCTCACAGGCAGCCACGGGTCTTCTCTGAAGTTGGCAGATTTCGTCAGGGTTAGTGACATGGGAAGAGGCAGGTTTCTGAAGTGGGTAAGAGTGTCTGACTCTGGCTTCTCACTCTTGGACTTGGTGTCACATAAGAATGTGGAGCCCCTTGGGGCTGGCACTCAGAGGACCACGAGAAAGGCGTCCAGCTCAGGGGCACCTGCCTTGCCATCCTACCTAGACTAGCTGCTCTCTCTCCTATTGCCCTGTTTTGTTCTCTTATACAAGGTACTCCTTTTTAATACTCTCATTTGTTTTGCATTTTCCCATCCACATCCCCCCACTGGAATGTAAACTCCATGAAAGCAAGGACTGCATAACAGTATACCCAAATGCCTAGAAAAGTGCCTGGCACATAGTTGGCATTTAAATACTTACTGAATAAATTAACAATTGCCAGGCACTGTTCTAAGAGGTGAATGACACAAACAAAATGCTTCTACAGTTTATCTTTTGTGAAGATCAGGGAAAAGGAACCTGGGGGGAACATGAGATTGAAGAGGTTTCTTTACTTCCCTATTTCCCACAGCTTTTACTCTGCTATACGTACAGTGAAAGCTGGTGGAGAACCCTCCGTCCCCTCAACTGAACATCTGACAGCAGCAATGCTGCCCGCTCACACTGAACACACATGGAGAAATGCACTCCCGCGTCTCGCTTAGGTAATCCCACACAGTCTGCCCTTGCTGGGACGCTGGGCTATAGGTACACTAGGGTTAAAGTCTTCAATTATCAGTGTGATGACAGCAGTGATAAGCAGAGCGAGATCCTCAGTGGTGCATGGATGTAAAGGGACAAGACAATGAGCTGAGAGTTCCAGCCATCCTTCCCTGCCTGGATAGCCTCCCTCCACTACCAATACACAAAATTTGGTTTATTTATTCAGCTTGAGAGCTTCTGAGCTTATTCCTTAATTTTGTAAAATTCTTGGCCATTTGTATCCTCAAGTATTTTTTTCTGCCCCATTTTCCTCTCTGTTCTTCTGGGACCGCTCACGTGTATGACAGGCCGTCTGACATTATTCCACAGCTCCTGGATACGTCACAGGTTTTTAATTTGCGTTCAATGTTGGAAAATTTCTTATTAATCCATCTTCAGGTTTACTGATTCTTTCTTCAGCTATGTCAAGTCTGCAGATAAAACTGCTGAAGAATTCCTCACCTTTGATAGCACACGTTTAACTCCCACTTTTCCATTTGGCTCTTTTTCAGTTTCCATCTCCCTGCTGAAATTCCCCACCTGTTCATGGTTGCTGCCCACCTTTTCCTCTAGAGCCTTAACATATCAATCATAGTTGTTTTAATGTCCCCGTGTGATAGTTCCAACATATGTTTCATCTCTAAGTCTGGCTGGCTGCTTTAGATTTCAACCATGGGTCTTTTTCTAGCCATTTATTGTGTCATGAAATATTTGATTGACTACTAGACATTGTGATAGAAGAACAACAGAGGCTGCTATTTACTCATGGAAATGGGCACGCCTCTTCTGTCAGGTCATTATCATTAGCACGGGAGGCTGAGTCGCTTTAGTCAGTCGCTGAGCTGGGTTTGGGTTTTGTTGTTGCTGTCTTTAACGTCAGTGAACCACGGGCTTCGGATTCTTCCCGTGATGGACCACTGCCGCCTGTGTTTAGTGTGAGGCCTGGAACGCTACAGAGCTCTTCTCAGTGATCCTGCTCCACTTTCATCCTTTAGCCGCCCCTGGACGCCTGCTCTTCATGGAAGGGTGGTCCTTGCCAGCTCTTGCTCTTGTCCTAGCAGGAGGTTCCTACTGCATGCTACTCAGCATTAGGCTCTTTGTGGGAACAAGTGGGATTCTCAGTCCTCCTGACCTGTCTCAATTTTAGGCAGAGTCTATGCACCTGGGCCTCTGAGGTAGGGTCTTCTCATAGTCCTGCCCTTCCTCAATCCCCATGGCAGCCTAATTCTGCCTTGAATTTGTGATAGCTCTTTGAGGGGGAAAAAAGAGTTTCTAGCTTCTCCCTCAATGGCAGCCCTTCCAAAGCTGCCCCGTTGGCCTCTTCCAAGCAGGTCAGAGCACCTGTGTGGTGAGATTCCAAAAAACAGTGTCCTTGTGCCCAGAGTCTCAGGCGCTTGGAGTGTGGCTAGAAACAGCTCTTCTGGATCCACCTCTTTCAAAACACAAAAGGTACCAACTGGTGAGGCGGGAAGCCAGTCCGGGGCTGGGAGGGCCTCCTTCCCTAGGGTAGTGCACTCCAGGTGCTGCGGGGTCAGTTCTGCTGTAAAATGAGGTTTTCCAGTTCATCTGCCGAGCTCAGCAGAAAGGCAGCAGACTCCCGGTAGCTGGCGATGAGCTGCCGCACAGCACTGATCTCCGTGGGGCTGAGCTGGGCAGTGGGCATGGCCTGGTTGGTGCTGTTGCTGGAAGGTGTGGGCATGGGCGTGGTGGAGGTGGTCGAGGCCCTGCCTTTCATGCTGAGGTCTGTGGGCCCATTACTGTGATTTTCTGTTTGGAGGGAGGCAGGTTGCTGCCCAAGGCCCCATAACTGTGGTAACTGTAGTTGGGGCCACTGTTGACGTAGACAGGGTCCTGGGAGTAGAAGGAGGCCGCCAGTGAGTAGGTGGAATGGGTGATGGCTGCAGAGTCCCGGGAGCGCTGCTTGTCTAGGGCTACGGGCTCGTCCTAAGAGGACTGGTAGATCTCCAGGCGCAACCTTTTGGCTGCTTTTCTTGTCTCACTGTCACAGGCAGGTGCCAGGATGTTTTCTGCCATGGCCGAGGTCAGGTGGGGTGGGGTGGGTCTGGTCATCTCCACACTGTTCTTCTGCATGCGCTGGCAGGAGTTGAGGTACGTGCGGCTGCACTGGCGGGCCCGCTCCTGGAACTCAGGGGACTGCCGGCTGCACGACTCAACGATGGCCTGGATCCTCTCCTTGGGCTGCTTGGAGATGGGCACCATGCGGTCCAGGTTCTCGTCCACGAAGAGATGCACAAACATACTGAAGGCCTTGAGGCGCTCTGGGTCCATGCCTTCAGAGTCATTCATTTTGTCATTGTCCTCATGGTCGTCGTGGTCATCTTCATCGTCATCTGCGGTGGGGGCCTGGCCCACTGTCAGGTCCTCAGGGCAGCCACTGACTTCGGTTTTGATGGAGTCGTAGCTCCCCAAGCTGTATGGTGGGGACTTGGGGGCGGTCTTCACCCCGGACTTGACGCGGCTCTGCAGTCCATCGGTGCCCACATGGACTCCCGTGCCCACAGTATTCTTTTAAGAAAGGATTCTTCTGTAGCTTGCGGGGGTGGTTCTCCACCGAAAGTGTATCAGAATTAATTATGAAGAGTTTTTAAACAAATATGCAGATGTCTGGGTCTCACTGCAGAGTATGGACTTAGAAAGGTTTGGAAACCTCCAGACTAGATGTCCTTTAAGGTCTTCTCCAATCCTACTAGATTACGCTACTTACAAATATTTTGTGCACCTTCAACACCCAAGATACCTTTTTTTTTGTGCAAATATTAACCACCTGATACTCCATAGAGTAAAAGCATTATTCCTATAAATGAAAGTCCTGTTCTCTGGCACTATGTACTCATCTTACTGACCTAGAGAAACTCATAGGAAATAAGCTGACGACTAAGACATATACAATTTCAACTTAAACTTTTTTTCCTGTGGTTATTTTGACACAAAACCCATCATATTTCATTATCTGTGATGCAGGAATTTGGGGAACTGGCTCCAATGTGAGCACCGATTACTGCAGAGGCGATGAGGAGGCTGGAGTGGGGAAGGTCATGGTTGCAATTTTGTCATATTGGTTCTCTTAACTCAAAACCACCCCACTAAGTCACGTGTTGGCTTTTTCCCTAACCCGGCACTTCACCTCTCTCAGTCACTTTCAACTCTATTAGGCCCAATGTCCCTTTGTTATATACATGTCTACGTTTATCCATTCATTTCAATTCCTCCTTTTCTTTCCTGAGACAAAATTCACAGCTACTTAACAGAATTTCAAAAGTGTCTGAATATATGTACGTTCATGTGTAACTGGAGCTCTGTGCTGTACACCGGAAAATGACACAACATTGTAAACTGACTATACCTCAATTTAAAAAAATACAAAAAGGTGTCAATAAAATAGCATAACAGTAATATAAAGGAAAATGCAAGTTATTAATTACGTATTTCATTATGTTTATGTTTCACATAAAGAATAGGCCTTATTAAATAACCTCAGAACAAAAGTCCTACTTTCAGTTAGTTAACAGAGAATCCTGGTCTTGATTAAAAACAAACCTCACACATTTAGAAAAACAATGCAGCACAAACCAAATGTGTAGCACAGAGCTCTGCACTTACTTGGTACTCGGCCGTTTCTGCAGGGTTTTATCCAGGATGAGAGATGGGGCACTCCTTCTCCTTTCTGCTAGTGTTTTCATTTTCTGTTGAGGGGGGAAAAATCACAATGAAGACCACGTGGCTATAAAGCAAGTAAATGCCAGTTTTCGATACCAGTTCGCAATCTTACCAAGGACATGAAATAATAACATCTAAACCAGGAGAGCTAAGTGTCAAAAAGCAGTACAAGCAGTAAGCCTTTTTCAAGGAGGTTAAATGTTGACCAGCGTATTTGGGAAAGAGCATCCCGACCATTAGCATCAACTGCGGCCTCAAGGCTCATGGCCCTATGCCGAGGACAGGACCGGACTGTCTCATTTCCTCTCCGGAATCTCATCGGAGTGATTCTGCTAGCTCTGCTTCACAGGCAGGGTGGGCCCCAAAGTGGGCTTCAAGGGAAAACAGAATTCAAAGAGATCAAGAAAAGGGAGAAAGTACATAGTTAAAGCGAAAGATGGAGACTAGATTCATACACACTTAATAGACTTTTAAATTTAAATGTTTACACATTTGGGAATCTATTCTTCCAAATAGATATTTACCTGTAACTTAAAAAAACTAACACTTTTTTCTTTTCTAAGTGGTATATAAATATAGGATTAATTGGATAATTCAGATACTCTGTGCTTCAGAGGACCTAAAATTTGTGATAAATGCGGTTTTATTCAATTTGAATTATCCAGATAATTACTCCCTAAATTTTTAATGTTACATATCTAACACCTCTAGTCAGAGTCTGAGGGCCTGCCACTGGAGTTGGATGTGTAGAATTTACAATATAGTCACAAACAGCCGTGAGTGAAGTTCAGGCTGGGTCACGGAAGCTTTCTTCCTGTTCCACCCTCTCTCCTTATCCTGGTGAGGTCTCACCCACCCACCACCTGAGGGCCTAGGCTAGCCATGCCTGGGACTGGATACTGCTCTTAAAACACACACACACACACACACACACAAAGACCAACTGGCTCAGTAGTAGTATCTCCTTACGTGATTTATAAGGGAACTGCTTCTTAGCTAGTAGAATAAAACCTAGATCCTAAGGAAGAGAGGAAGAACCATCCAATGAGAAGGGGATACTGGACTTCCTCGGCCCATTTTGTTGCCTCCAGATTTACCGTGCCCCGGGGATCTCACACAAGTTACTGTTGTCACCAGTGCCATGATCTCAGTGTTACTCTTTCCCCTATTTGTCTTTTGGCTCACGTGTAGAAACTAAATGCCCAAACCTTCTTTGTACAGCTCAGATAGCAACTGAAACAATTACGTAAAACTTTAATAACGGGCAGGAAACATACGGGTGAGAAATGCAGAACACCATACTCAATCAGGACTTATTAACCATGAATTCGTTTTGGGGCAGGTTAGATTGTGTAATTTTTTTTTTACATGATACATATTTGGTGCCTCCCTTCTGAAGGGAAAGCCCGCAGTTTTCATCAGATTCCCAGGAGAATCTGTAATCCCTCTCAAGCCCAGTGATTCTGATAAACTGTTTTATATATTACAGCTTATAAGCCCCACTGCACTGCTTCCATGAGTCACATCTCTAGGGAATGTACCGCTCAGGGATCTGATACTCTGTGGCCACTCTGCGTGCAGAGGTTGCAGGATCCAGGGAAATATGGGAGACTAGTATTTGTACTGCAAGGTCCAGCAGCCTGTCTCCACATAAAGGGTCTCAATTTTGGAAGATCAGGTTGATTTTACTAAAACAGGTGGCCATTCGTTCATATGCAGATTTTCTGCAGGATTCTGTTCCACCTTGAGGCCTGGGTTTGATTCCTGCTCCTTATCCTGACTCCCTTTACTCAGGATCTATTTACCAGGCTTTGAACTTTGAAATGTGCCCAATCCTTTAAGCTTGCCCTGGGCCCCCTGCCCACTGTCTGTTCTGATCGTGAGGGTCTGCCTAGCTACCTGAGCACAGGCCACAATCCCGGGCCTATCTCAGTAGTCTTAACTTCTGCTGCTCTAACCCTCTGACACTGTCAGCAGATCCAAGCTCCTAAACTAGGTCTTCATCAATGTGTGATTTCCAATCCTGAGCTCCTTGACTTTCAGGTTTATAAAGATTTTGGAAAAGGTTCAAAAGATTACCATCAAAATGATTTCAAATGAGAGAAGTTAAAATGACCTGAAATTCTTCACTTAGAAACAGTAAACATATACAAATTAATGCAGAGTTATAATACAGAGGATAGAAAGCATCTTTCAAAGAAAATAAGGCAAAAAGAAATGTGGCCAAACTGTAGGCTGAGAATCCAGGTTGATCTTGGGTAGTGGCTCTCAGAGAAGTTCACAAAAACTGTGAACAAAATTATGCACATTAACTTCAAGGGCTTCAGAAACCCCTAACATGGATTCTTCAGGGATCCGTGGATCCCAAGAATTGAAACCTTCTGCTATAAGGAAAACTTTCTGAGAGTGATGGTTGTTAAGCATGAGAATGGATAAATCAAAGAAGGGTGGCAAATTTTCTTCTGTAAAGGTGCTTTTAAGACAGGCGTTTCCATGGAGACCTAGTGCAGAGGACCATTTGTGTATATATACACAGGGATTAGACGGTTTTCTTAGGTATAAAATTGTCAGATGTGTGAGGAGTCGAATGTGGAGTATGCCTACCTCATCTAGTGGACTCACACTCAAGAGAATGCCATCAAAGTACGGGGAGAATATTATTCTTATTTAAGGTCCTATTGTTGGTAGAGACTTACTCTACTGCCATGCTACTAATGAGATGAGCTAATCAAGGCAATCCAGACACTTCCCTGGGCCCCCCTCTCCTTATCTAGAAATTGAGAAAATTTGGACTACATAGTCCCTCAAGTTCCTTCTGCTTCTGACATCATCATGTCACGTGTACACCAAATGCAAGAAAATAAACATTATGTACATCATGAATTTAGAAGACACAGGATTCAGTTCTTCTGCAAATAATAAAAGAGTCTTAACAGCTACCAATATGACAAGGACTTTATAAGTAGATTTAGGTATTCATTCATTCAAAATATGCATCTCTTTCTTTTGCTCAAAAGTGTAGCAAAACAAAGAGCCATTGGTGACTTCAGAAAAAATGTTCACTTTTCTATCTATCTAAGAATCTGTTCCCCTGCACTGAATACTAGGATTTTCTTTTTGTTTATAACAACTGTGTGAAACACAATACACAGAGCCTGAAGGAGACTACTTATTCCCTTATAAATGTGTAATAGTACAAACTTGTCAGGACAGGTCGAGGCTGTGCTTACACCTAGCACTAACAAGTTTCCCAGTTGTTCAGAGACGAGGAAAACTATGACTGTGCCTCACAGGACACAGAAGATAGACTGGAAATAGGGTATGTGTTCTTTGTAAACTCCAAAGTCACAAGCCTGAGTGTGGCTTTTCAGAATGCCCAAGTGCTTGATGCTTCTACTGAGATGACCTCATAAAGATTAGATGACATTCCGAAACTAAGTATATTTAAAAAGGTAACCTTTTTTTTTTCTAAATTGATAAACTATACATTAGGCAAAAAAAAAATCAACTGCATTAATTTTTTGGAAATGATTTTCTTGATATTGTACCACTTACCTGGGCTTAAGCAGCCCCCCCCCCAAAACTAAAGAAGATCCTTGCGTGAGCTAAAAAAGCAAACAAATATGAAGTAGATTTACTTACTTTTCTGCTCACAAATGGGAAAGCAGGAGCTTGGAAGAAGTTGTAATAGGGAATAAACAGTGATTAAATTTTAAAAACTGACATCTTTGTACTAATAGCCATTTGTTAGGAAAGTGCAGCACAAATTCTAGAGAGAAGTTGGATCTTCGGTTTTCTAAGCTGTCTCCTCTGTGGCTATATGCAGTATTAAAGGCAAGAGTAAATGAATAGAGGCCATAACTGAAGATGTGAACCAAAGGACTAGAATTCATTTTTCTTTTATGTTTCACTAATAACGTAAATCTGTAGCAACGTTACCAGCTAATCGGCAAGGTGCTTTCTGTGTCAACTCTTTTTTAATCGGTTGAATGAATTAAATGTTGAATTCCCTGTGTTCCTGGCTTGCCTCACTGATACGCCTCAGTTACAGCATTTCATATTGTATCAATCATCTTTCTGCTCCTTTCTGGAGGGCAGAGATTATATCCTCTTTTCAAACTTTCTCCTGTCCTTCAACAATTACTTACTGAAACTCACTCTGTAGCAGGCCTATTTTTGCATCCCTAAAGCCTAGTACAATGCCTGGTACAAACAATATGCTCAATAAATGAAGGTTTTATGTGAGTTTTAAAATTCACTCATTCTCCACATCTATACCACTGTCTCCAAACACATATACGCAGAAACACAAACAAATAAACCTATAAGGGAATCTCCTGGTATGCGGTTGCTATGAAAATGTAAAAGCCTGCTATGAAGCTGGACGGCAAGAGTCACTCTTATTGTCTGCAAACGGCCTCTTTTGACACAGTGCTGACGTTTACATGACCAGTGAGCTGCACAGTAAACACCTGTCTGATGCTAAAATTTAACTACTTGCCAACAAATGGCGCTGGGACAACAGGGTATCCACATGCAAAAGAATAAAGCTGGACTCCTGTCTCATGCCATCTACAAAAATTAACTCAAAATGGATCCAAGACCCAAAAGTAATAGCCAAAACTATAAAAAATTTAGAAGAAAACATAGACATAAGTATGTGTGACCATGGATTAGGCAATGGTTTCTTAGCTATGACACCAAAAACACAAACAACAAAAGAAAAACAGATAAATTGGACATCATCAAGATGAAGACTCCTTTGCTTCAAAGGACACTATTAAGAAAGTGGAAAGAAAGCCCACAAAATGGGAGGACATTTTTGCAAGTCATGTATCTGACATGGGATTTATATCTAGAATACTTAAAAAATGGTTACAATTCAATAATGACAAATAAATCAGTTTTAAAATGGGCAAATAGACAGGAGGTATACAAATAAATGGCCAATGAGGGCATGAAAAGGTACTCACCATCACTAGCCATCAGGGACACGTACATCAAAACTATGAAATACCACTTTGCA